GAAACCTGAGGGATTCATTGCCTCAGGACAAGAGAACAAGGTTTGTAAACTTGTTAAGTCTCTATATGGATTAAAACAAGCTCCTAAACAATGGCATCAAAAATTTGATCAAGTCATGATGGAAAGTGGCTTTAGAATCAATGAGTGTGATAAGTGTATCTATGTGAAAAACACCACTCATGGATATGTCATATTGTGTTTGTATGTTGATGATATGCTTATCATTGGTAGTGATGACAAGATAATAAGATCCACGAAGGATATGTTGAAATCCAGGTTCGACATGAAAGATATGGGTTTAGCAGATGTGATTCTTGGAGTGAAGATCACAAGAACCCAAAGTTGTTTGATTTTGAGTCAAACACACTATATGGATAAAATTCTTGAAAATTTTGCTAAGGGAGATACTAGCATAGCTAGAACTCCAATTGACACTAGTCAACATCTACGTAAAAATAGAGGTGATAGTGTTAATCAAGTGGAATATTCAAGAATTATTGGCAGTCTGATGTATCTAATGAGTTGTACCAGACCTGACTTAGCATACGCTGTGAGTAGACTAAGTAGATACACTAGTAAACCTAGTTCTGAACACTGGAAGAGTATTACTAGGTTGCTGAGGTATGTGAGATACACACGGGAATATGGACTGCATTACGGAAGAGATCCAGCAGTTATCGAAGGATACACGGATGTAAATTGGATATCTGACATAAAAGATTCCAGATCTACAAGTGGATATGTGTTTACACTTGGAAGTGCTACTGTAGCATGGAAATCATCCAAGCAAACAGTTATATCTAGATCTACGATGGAATCTGAATTTATCACCTTAGATATTTGTGCTGAAGAGGCGGAGTGGCTACATCAATTTGTAGAGGACATTCCCGAATGGCCTAAGCCGGTAACGGCCATAAGTATACATTGTGATAACCAATCAGCAATTGGTAGAGCTCAAAGTACAATGTATAATGGGAAATCAAGGCACATTAGACGTGGACATAAAACGATACGACAACTAATCTCTATGGGAGTTATCACGGTTGACTGGGTGAAGTCAAAGGATAATATTGCGGATCCACCTACAAAAGGCTTGAGTAGAGATGTAGTTTATAAGTCGTCAAGAGGAATGGGACTAAAGCCCATGAATGAATAAATTCATACGAAGGAAACCTTACCCAGAACTGGAGATCCCAAGATCTGGGTTCAAAAGGATAACCTAATTGTATGAGTGGGGCAGGTTACTGTGGGGGAAGTTAACTTTTCATCCTAGTCCATTCCTTTATGTAGTGACCAAATTAGGCTAAACATATGGTTTTTAATGATTCTTGGAATCACCTGTGTGAGAGAGAAGTGGGGTCGCTTCGAAGGGAATTATAGGGGGAAAAATTCCTGAAGCTCTTGCAGAACCAGGTTAGTGTTCATGACCAAACGAACACGTCTATGAGGATATGACCTTGTTAGAGAGAGTCCTGTGAGATTTACATTGTCGTCTACATAAATGGCAGCTTAGTTCAAAGACATCGAGATCTACTAACTGCTAGGAGATTAAGTGTAACTTGTTAAGGGAAGGTTCAAAGGGTAATACCTACCTATCCTATGCAGGATTCAACTGTTGAAATTTTCGTCTGGAAATTGGATGTGCAGAGATCGATCTCCATTCATGTGGGGGATTGTTGGAAATTTAGTAAAAATATTTATATTTTTTTACTAACTTTGGACATATATAAATATATACATATGTTGTACATATAACGAACCCTAAGTGGGTTTGTGTTCTCCCCCATGAGGATTTCGAAACGATATATTATATGTCCAAAATAGAGTGTAAGTGAATGAGATATTGATACTCAAAGATGGGTATTTGAGAATAAGTTTAGCAAAAGAGAGGAATGTGGGAATGAGTCCCACATTGGTAGAGAGACCAAACTCAACAAGGTTTATAAGCTTCATTGCATGGAAGGCTTACAAACTTGTGTCTATGGTTATCCTAGAATTCCTACCCGCGCGCAGGGGGGGTGCAAATCTTGGTTCCGTAGACCAAAAACACCGAACTCATGCATGGGCGCGACCTGCGGACACGAATGCAACTCCGAAAACTCGGGCGCGCGCTACCCTCGTTTTTGCTAAACTTGATAGTTTTGGTCCCTATTTTTTTGAATTCTGTAACGGATGCATTAATTGCGTAATTAATGATATTTATTGTCATTAAACACTCAATCAATTAGTGATTTGTTTCCGTTTCACAATTCGACTATAAAAGAAGACCATTGCCTTCTCATTCAGACACACGAATGAATTTACTCTTCTTCTTCTTCCTTCTCTGCATACCTGCTTCCGGCGATCCTTTCAGGCAAGTGGTTATCTCCGGCAGTACACAATACTGTTTAGGTTGTTGTACCCTGGGAACAGACGACGAATCTGTTTAAGGGAATCGAGTCCAACTCGAGCCTCAGCCACATCGTTTGCATCTAATCTTTCTTTACAGAAACCTCTCAAGGACGAAAATCGAAGACGTTTTACTAACACATTATTAATAACGAAGAAAATGAATCGGGATACACCTTTGATGCTCTAATTAATAAAAATAATATTAGTAAAGATGCTATAAGAAAATCAAATTTTACACTATCTGAAAAACATAATTTTAGATATAACTCATTGAAAATTTTCTTTTCTAGAAAATATATTATATATTATGGAAAAATTATAGAAGTACAACCAATACCAATAGAATCAACACAAGGAAATATTATTATACCAATAATAAATAAACAACAAATTAGAAATAGATTATCTAATATTAAAGAAATAGATAGAACAGAAATCGCTTATATTCATATATCAACTATTCAAATAATTTTAAAAAGTACTTTTAGCGATTTAGACACACCAATAGAATTAGAAATTAGAGATAATCGTATAATTAATAATCAAGAAAGTATTATTGCAATAGGAAAAGGAAATTAAATTGAAGGAAAAATAAAATTTGATATTAATATACAACTAGGATTAAGTCTAAAAGATAAAAATTTAAGTAATAGTATTACCGTACGATATAAATTATGAAGACAAAATTTTATGTTAAAAGGATATCATCCATTTACTATTACATATCAAATAAATTATGCATTAACAAATTCTCATCATAGTATTATGTTTCAAACAGAAGATATAATTTATATAGATAAATTATTTACCCCTTTATTATCACTTGAATCACAAAATATAACTAATAATAGAATTTTTATTGAAACTTATTTTCAACCGATAATAACTACTCCGCTAATAAAAAGAAACTAAAAATTTATTTTCTAAAAACTAGTAGTAATAAAAATTATTAATATGGAAACTTTACAAGAAAAAATAGATACATTAACTAAATTATTCGCAGTACTAGAAATTACATCCGAAATTCAAGAAAATAACACAGAAATAGAAAATAATAACGATGCATAAGTAATATATGATTTTTCATCCGATGATGAAAATCCTTATTCAAATCCATATAAAGAATCGCAAAATAATTTTGGATTAAAACGAAAACAATCATATGTTGAAGATGATTATCAAAGTCAATATATTTATGGACCACCTTCGTTAGAAGAAAATTTTTTATATAGACAAGGAATGGTCAAAAATAAACAAAACAAATGGGAAAAAATACCTCCACAATATATACCTAAACTATTTACTTTTCCAACAAATTCAGATATTCTTTTTATTGATTGTGAGCAAAATCCCGAAGCAAAAATTCAAGAATGGAGTAATAAAATGGGAATTCAAATTCAACTAACTGAAGAATTAAGAAATCTACATCCAAAAATCTTTCTTAATTATATTATACATAAAACACAGGGCAATGCATATCGTTTCCTTTCATCTCTCGATGAAATAGAGACGATGATGATAGCAACCACCGACGCTATGGAAACATTTAAAAATGTATTAAATCGGCTTATTCAAGAATTCATAGCAAAACAAATAGAAGATAAAACATCTCAAGAAGCTTTTCACTTAGAATCATTATGGCATCTAACTAACTTACGAATTTGTAACATGTGTTATTTAGACCCATTTATATGCGAATATTCTGAACATTATTATAATCTAGATTTTACTAGAAAAAAGATAGCATTAGACATGTTTTACCAAAAATTACCATCATTAGTAAGTCAAAGTCTAATAAAAGATTTCCAAGAAGCATTACAGCAAAATAAAATTGCAGATACCTTAGGAGCAAGGATAAGTATATTAAAAGCATGGATGCAGAAAAAATGTTTAGAACAAAAAACAACACAAGATGCAAGAATTGATTTATGTTGTGATACCTTATCTAATAAAGTTAATCAATATGGTTGTAAAGATAATAAAAAAAAACAAAAATATAAAAAGAAAATTTGGAAAAAACAAACCTATAAACCTAAATATAAACAATATTATAAACAAGGTGAAAGAAAATATTTTCGAGATAGAAAATAATATAAGAAAAAATATCAATCTAACACAAATTACTGTCCATCTAATAAAAAAGATTGTAAATGTTGGATATGTTAAGAAGACGGACACAAAGCCTACGAATGTCCAAAAAAGACTGAAAAAGAAAAAGAAACAAACTTATTAAAAATTGCATATGATCTCGGGTATGAACCTATAGAAGATTCAGGAATAGATTCGGATATAGATATTTATGCATATACAACTGATACTGATTCTGATTCAGATAAATAGTCTTATAAAGAAAGCATTATTGGGTTTAGAACATGAGGGAAACCTCATATCTAACATATCCAAAGTATACATTGCTAAAGCATATATTGGTATGAAAATACCAGCCAAAGTAAACAATGATAAAGTATACAGTGATATGAAAATATCACCAAAGCATACATTGATATGAAAATCCTCATACCATCATTTAAAATATTAAAAGCAAACAAATTTCAGCAATCATTCAGGTACCCAAAAGGCGTAAATATTCATTCAGCAGAAATATTGAAATGGAAGCCATCATGAAGCAAGTCAAACACCAGTTCAGACAAAAAGATGAGCAAGAAGCATCGTTAATCAGACAGCTTGAAGTAGTTAAACGTGAAAAAGAGCAACTACAACAAACAATACAAATTCTATCATCTTAATAGGCATCTAAAGAAGAAGAACCCAGCAGTTCAACAACAAAGCAACCAAAAGAAGAAATTCAAGAAATATCATCCGATGAAATTCAACCACAAATAGCACTCGAAACAGAAAAACAAACCATGATGCCAAACTAGGAGGAGTATCCACCACTACAAGCAGATCATAAAAATATAAAGAAATGGTATGTGATATTCAACGGAGAAAACAAAGGAGTCTACGATGATTGGGGAATCACCAATTCATATATTCTTGGAAAAAATGTCATTCATAAAAGCTACAAAACAAAAACCGAAACAGAAGCCGCATACAATGAAGCATACAAAGTCGTAATAAGAGATAATGTCGAATGTTCGAAAACAATCCTTCTTGCACCACAAAAACCTGTATCCATCCCAAAATCTCCTAATCAACTCCATGCTAAAATCGCCCTCGAAGTTATTCCGTCAACCAAAGAAAAAGAAGCTATGAAAAAACCAACTGCCCAAAAATTTTCTAAACTATGGGGAAGCCTCATTTCATACACCGATGTCCATTCTTTAATGGGTTTCTACCCAGTAGCTAGGCGCCCAGGCCCCAAAGCAGTTTTTCTAGCCGATTTATCAGTCCCCATGACCTTATGGGATTATTTTATTCATGGATTTATCGATACCATTTACTTAGAAGGAACTAATCTTCACTGCATCAGCGAATTTCCATCATCTGTACAAACCGTAATAAGAAATTATAAGGCACGCTTTGCCAAGCAAGAACGAGGATTATTTATAAAAATGCATTCTAGCTATCCAATCTTTGATGAAGACAAACAACTACTTGTCCCAAGCATTACCTTCGCAAACAAGGGAATTAGCAACGGCTTAAAACCAACAAAAGATGACCTACCTCATGATGAACCCACACAAGACCATCTGATTTTTGCATTAGCCAGAGTCTACCTGTCATAACTAGGAATTTTGATGCCTTGTAAACTTTGAACAATGATAACAAATGTGAACCAACAATGTGAAAACACGTAAGATGCTTATTCAATAACAACAGAATTTCAATCAAACACTTCATACAAGCACTGCAAATAGTCAACAAATAATTGGAAACCCTAGAAATCCTTGTTTAAGTCCATTTTGGACTAGGATTTCCTTATTGGGTCCAATGGACCAATAAGCTTCCAATTGGATTATCTTGAACCTAGAACTCTCAAATGGGCCCTAATTGGACCCATATACATGAAAGTTAACATTGTTGGGCCTTATGAACCCAAAATAAACTAAATTAACTTTAATGAGTCTTATTGGACCAAAACAAATTTATATTAGCCCTAATAGGCCATAAAAATCATTCCTAGATTTATTTGAGCCAAAAATTCACCAAAATGGATTATAATAAGTGCTTAAGCATTAAGGGCCGAAATCTTTTTTTTCCCTCTCTATTCTCAGCCCAAGCCCAACCCAAGAGGAGGTGTTGACTTTTGATGCCACCTCACAATTGTTCATGGGATAACCATGCATTTTTCTCATGTTCCCATGCATAGTCACCTCACTCACTCTCTCTTATCTCCTCTCTTTCTTACTCTCGTTCCGAACACAACACACACACACACACTCACAAAAATTCACTCCATTCTCTCTAAGTCTTCAAGAACATCTTCTCACTTCTTCAAAACTTTCGAGATCCAGAAGGCTTTCAAGGATATTCTCCACAAAAACTCATCATCTAAGGTAAGATATTGATTAGATCCATAACCTAGCTACTTCTTTTCATCAAAAATCATCTCCTAATCCATTCAAGTTCATGATCTTGCATCTTAGAAGCTACTAAGTTCGAGATCCATCTAAGGAACTTGCTAGGGCCGAAAATAGCACCAAACTTCTCCAAATCTTCTTCAAAACCGATCCACAACTCAAGGTGAGTTTCATACCCCCTTCTTTTCGGTTTTTATGAGTTTTTATGGGGGGGGGATACAAGTAAATGTGTAGATCTATGTGTAAATGTATGCTATGTGTGATTTGATGCATGTATGTGTGTGATATCATGTGTTTGTGATGAATATGTTATCCAAAAAGTGTGTAAAAACCGAGATCTAAATCTCAAGGAAGGAAATAAACATAACTAAAACTATTTTACACTAATCAAGTCAAGAAAAATAGTTTATATGGTTAGGATGAACATACTTGAACATAAAACCCATTTTTGGGCTTAAATTGTCAAAAATACAAAACTTAGGGTCAAAACCGACAAATTGTAGTTTCTGGAGGGTCAAAAGGGTCCAAATAGTTTCTATAATAATTTTTCTGAACAACAACATTGTTGAGGGACTTAAAATGTAAATTTTGAACTTAATGGGCTAGATTTGGGCTTTTCGGCCCAATAAGCCTCAAAATGCGAGATTTACAAGTTTTAGGGGCTGAAAATGCAATTTTCTGTAAAACAGGGGATTTGAAGTGTATTAAAACTAATTCAAAGGTCAAAAATGCTTTTCAAATTCAAAAGGGATCAAAAATTTAAAAATTTTCTATTTTGGCCAAAACTGTAAAAGTTGCGAAACTGGGGGTTTTAACTGAGAAAACATCATTTTGGAAGGACAAAAGTTGTTTACAAAATAAATTTGCGCCAAAAATGTCTTTTCAACAAGTTTATGATACAAAAGTGTCAAAATAATGTTTTAAGGACTAAAATGAAATTCTTTTATATAAAGGACTAAAAGTGCTATTTTTATAAAAGAAAGGTTGTGAAAAGGTAAAAATCTTACTTTTAAACAAATTAATTCATCAATACAAAATACAAGATCCACAACTACCGACGAAATGTAAAAACAAATACACTCTCAACAACCAATATCGTTACAAAACGAATTGATTCGGTCTCGAATCAATAACAAAACAAAAATCAATAAACCATAGTATTTCAATAAACACGTGATAACTATAAGGAGTCAACATTCAAACTTTGGGCTTGAAAGTTTCTAATCGTGCTTGTTGGGCCTTGCTAGCCCAATAACATGATCTTTGGGCCCGAAGGGAATGCGCTTACATGTTAATGGGCCTTCTATGACCCAATTTCATGTAAAAGGACTTTCAATAGTGCTATTATGCTATTGGGCCCTAATGGTCTATTAGTACTGCTAGTGAGGTCGAGAAGTCAAATGCGAGTCGGGCCAAGTGTCTTTCGCATTCCCGATAGCCTTGAATAGCTTATGGAAATAAAGGGGGCTTCGTACCCTCCTTTTTCCTCGGTTGATCGGCTTATGAGAATTCGAGTAATCAGATTTGTGGCGTTAATCAAGAGAAGTCAGGGTGGTTGGATTATGTGAGTAGTACGGATGACGCCTTAGGGATCGTTCGTAACCTGTAGTTATACACTAGTCATTTTCATTAATGCGTGATTGTAACCACTCACAAACCTTAGTTAATCCAATGTCACCTGGGTAATCAAAAACATTCGTCGTATCGGTATAACAATAAACAAGTCATGTAATTTGCGTATTGGGAAAACATCGGGTTTTCCCGGAAAGTTCAACATTTTCACCTATGTGATGTATACAAAGTTCAACAATTATACATGTTTTCAAAATCGACAAACATATTTACGGATCTTCAAACTTTTTATAAACAAATACTCTTTTTAGAAAATATCGGATTTTCTGGGGTTTTTCAAACTTCACAAAAATCATTTTTCCATAACATTACTTATGAACTCACCAACATTTCATATGTTGACGTTTTTCAAAATAACTTGTATTCTCAGGTAACAGGTAAGCCGAAGAATAAGTACCAAGTTATGTCATGGTGTTTTGCTTAAATTATCTATTAGACAAACTATGTTATGGAATTGTAACGTTTAAAACAATGTACTGAATGTAAACAATATCAGTTGTAATATTCCAATGCATGGTGATGATTTATGTTATGATTCATGTATTTTAATTGTGATGGTATTCAATTTGAGTCACAAGAGCCCTCGAACGTTTCCATTGTTCGGTTCGGGGGTGTGACACTACCTCGCATCATCTCACATAGGCAACGGCAAAGATCAAAAATCAAGAATCAGAGTAAATTATGCAAGTAAAAATTTCGTTATATACTCCTTAACAGACAATGATATCACACCGGAAGCAATAAAAGCAATTGAAACTTTCGAACAACCGTTTGAAAATTTTTCTCATCATCTAACTGAATTACCTGCTGATCTAAAGAAACAACTTTGTAAACACATCATGCATGCACCACGTCATAACTACAGTCACTGTAAAGAAAATATAGAAGAAATACCATTCATGGAAGACTAACAAAAGAATCAAAAAAAAAATATCTGCTTTTTCGGAGGCGGGAGGAATGACACAAGCAATGACATAAAAAGCCATTATTGAAGACACCTGTCCTTTCAATGTGGAAAAGATTATTATATTTTTAATTATGTAAAGTGTCAGTAGAATTATTTGTATTTATCGTTTGTATTAAAATAGTATCGGTAGGATGTGACATAAAGTGTAAGACCCTCCATAGTCTAGGGGTCTATATTGTAAATTATGTATGTCGTTTTGCAATCAAAGGATTGCAACAATAATTGTAACCGGCTCCTTCGAGCCTATAAATAGGGCCTTCACCTATATGAAATAAACAAGTTAAGTTTGAGTGTTTAAGATTTGAGTTGATCTCAAAATTCTTTCTATTGATTCCAAACATCTTTATAATATCTAAAGCACCCCTAAGTTGAATATTGTCTCTTTGGGCTTATTTGTTTACATAATCAAACAAATGCATAACTTTCAATGATGGCCCCAATATATAGCTTGTGCTCAAACCAATATTTATCATGTCTTACCCCTAAATATCATGAGAAAAAAAGAATGTACAATGTTATGCTATAAAAAATATATACAAAAATTATACTGTTAATCATGTGATTTCTTCTTAATTTGTTGCACCTTTATAGTGATTTTGGTTGACAACTTTATTTTTTCTTTTCCATGCCTAACCCATCCCATGAGATTGATTCAATATATCCTACTTGAAAGCTCACAATAGTTACGGCAAAAAGCAAATTTTCCACATTCTTTTCTGAGCATTTAGGACCTTGCTTCACCTAAGGTTCATGTCTATAAATTATGTAAAAACATCACCACGAACAAAACATTACAACATGAAGAGCTAAGTCAATAACTCTATAATGTGAGGATTCAGTTTATAGAGTTTGGCGAATCTGTTTCACATGGACTCAACCATAGGTGTGGCCCTTGTCAGTGAGTATCTTCTTCAACTCATTAGTCAATATTTTAGGAGCAACTCCAGCAATACATACCATCATCACCAGCAAAGTACTGAAATATTAAGTTAAAAAACCTACAAAATATATTAGTTATTTTATATTAAATTTTTTCGAGATTAAATTAGTAAAAAAAATCTTAAAATTTTAATAAGCAACGGTAGTAAAAAACAATTCATCTTAACATATATAATTATTATCAACGATGTGTTACGTGTATGTAAAATGTCCCCTTCCGAGCTGCCATCTCTCTGTCGTTACCCTGTGGCATTCAGACAAAGCACTTTATATGTTATTTTGGGACAAATAAACGATGAGTTTTCCTGAAGTATTATTATTCCAGATCCTCCAAAATGGTTTTGAGACAGACATATACAAAGATAAACATTACGCACATAGATACACATATACAAAGATAAAACATGCATTACACACATAGATATACATAGATACACATTACACACACACACACACACACACACACATATATATATATATATATATATATATATATATATATATATATATATATATATATATATAGGCTTGTTTTTTCCCATTAAGTGATGTATACTGTAATAAACATTCCAGACCCTCCAACATTAAGTGCTAGTTTTTCCCATTAATGTTGTATACGAACAGTTACTAATAATATTTTAATGTTTTAAATAAGTTACCTGAAGTT